TTTAGCTGCAACCCAGCTTTTGTGCTTTCTTCTTTCACCTTGATTAGAAGGCTCCTCAGCTCCTCCTCGCTTTCGGCCATCAGAGTGGTGTCATCTGCATATCTGAGGTTGTTCATGTTTCTTCCAGCCATTTTCGCCCCAGCCTTGCATTCCTCAAGCCCCGCACATCCTCGCATTGATATCGAGCTCTTTTGGGGGGTCTCCCAGCGAGAGAGATCCCTTAGGACCGCCCAAAAGGGTCCTCGAACCTCGGTGAGGCCAGCGAAGCCAATCCAAAGAAGACGAAAATATTTTAAAAATTAATCTCACCGGAGGCGGAAGAGGTTCAGTGACCGAGGCGTTTATTCTGCGATTCAGCTGAAAAGTATGCGATTGTAGTGATAATTCACATACAAGCATGATTTTACAGAATTTTCCAAGCATTTTATAGGGTTCAGACAAAGGGAAACAGTTTCAAAAATCCCGCCCGCCCTCTGCCGGCCGGCTTCGTCCTGATTGGCTGGCCGCGGAACAGCTGGGAGGAGGCTTGGCGGCACGCCCCGCCTCTGGTCCAATCAGCGGGCTCCGCTGCCTCTGGGAGGCCAATCAGCGCCTTCCTAGCGCCTCGGAAGATGGACCAATCGGCAGCTAGGAGGCGGGACGAAGCCTGACAAAGACTGAGGAAATGACAGCCTTAAGGGCATCCGCCAGCTGGAATGTGAGGCTTTGTCCTCACTTGGCGGGGTGTCAGATAGGGGGACAATGAGTTTCCTGGTCTGTTGATGGGATTTGGGAGGAAATATGAAAAGGCTTTTTCGGTATCGGACCTCAAAGGGGGATCAACAATACCTGGTTGATTAAATCAGTCTTTGTTTCCGAGTTTCTGCTGACCCCCTCCCCTCGCTGGTCTGCTCCGACGGCTAGGGTCGGGGGATCAACAGTACGGCCCATGCAAATGAAACAATTAAGGAGAGTTTCAGGAGGACAAAGGAGTTCCTCCTCACGACAGTAATCCCCAGGTCACATCTTTGTGGGGCAAGGGTCGAAGGGAAAGGCGGGAAGGAGAAACACAGTACATTCTATATGATATTTCATTACATACATTTCATATATTCCATATGGCAGTCCCATCCCCACCCCAAGCAAAGTTTATTAAAAATGATTTGATCTTTATTAAGAAGAACGGGAATTTCATGGTCCCTCGATGAAGGCGCGCGGAAACGGAGGCTGCCTGCCCTTCAGGGCAAGCCTGGTCTGAAAGTTCATGTCCAAAGATATGGCTGGAAACAGTCCGGGACGTGGAGCAGAAGGTCAATAGGAGAGGGCAAAAAGAGTCCAAGGAGGATTTCCAGGTTGCAATGGTGGGGCAGAGTCCTTGTTTGTCCTTTGGAAAACTATGTCTCCTAGGTCAGAGACCAGGACCCACGCCTGGCTGCCTTCCCGAGGTCTCCTGTGGGTGGCCGCAGTGGGTCCCCAGTTGTTGGATCCAGGCAGGAGTGAGCACCGCTGAGGAGGAACGAACTGTCTGGGAAGAACCCGGCCAAATTGGCAAACAGCTGATTTCTGTCAAAGTAAAATACTTGGAACAAAACAATTTATTCCCGGGTGTAGGAGCCCAAAATGAGAAAAGGGAGATAGCAGTTAGGCTTAGGATTAGTAGCAGAAAAATATAAAATTGAAACGGCGGCGATCCGCCATTTTATGTTTTTTCGCGGATAAGGGGGTCTGAAATGGCGGTTTCCGTATCCGCGGTTTGAACGGACGCAGATTTGGGGTCCCGGGGGTGCCCGGAGGCGCCTCCCGCAGGCTCAAGGCTCTCCGGAGCCCAGAAAAAGGTTTATTTTAGTGTTGTTATAGTTTGAGTCAGAAAAGATACAAAAGTATCAAGCGGAGAGATTAAAAGTTGCAAGTTTCAAGTACCTTTATTAGGGAAATGATACAAAGTAGGGAGAAGGGGAAAGCAAAGGAAAGTTGCAGGCATTCCTGGTTTTTGAGCTGGCTGCTGGGGCACATGTCATCTGTTGGTCCCCAAAACTTGACCCAGGAACTGCGGAACTCTCCGCTGCGCTTCACACCAATGTGAAGGCGGGGCTCCCTGCCGCGCTCGGGCTCAGCATGATGTGTTCTGCATACAAGTTAAAAAGGTTGGGTGAGAGGATGCAGCCTTGCCGGACGCCTTTCCCAATCTGGAACCCGTCTCCTGTTCCGTGGTCAGTTCTGACTGTGGCTCCGTGGTCCTTGTACAGATTCCTCAGGAGAGAGGGAAGGGGGCTTGGGGTGCCCATCCCACTAAGAACTTGCCACAATTTATGATGATCCACACAGTCAAAGGCTTTAGAAGAGTCAATGAAGCAGAAATAGATGTTTTTCTGATACTCCCTGCCTTTCTCCATTCTCCAGCAATCGTAATACCAACCAAAGGAGCATCGACACTTGAGAATCAATGCAGTTGGACGCCACTTGAATAATAATAATCATAGAATAATAGTTGGGAGAGATCACATGGGCCGTCTAGTCCAACCCCCTGCCATGCAGGAAAAGCATAATAATAATAGTAATAATAATAATACAAGGGTTGAATGAAAAGTAATGCCTCCACCTTTGTAACTCCTCAACAGATGGCAGTACTGGTATGCAGCAGGTACTGGCTTGTTCAGTAGACTCCTCTACAGTTCCATTTGGAGGGTTGAAAGGAAAGTAATGCTTCCACCTTTGTAACTCAACAGATGGAAGTACAGGTATGCAGCAGGTACTGGCTTGTTCAGTAGACTCTCCTCTACAGTTCCATTTGGAGGATTGAATGGAAAGTAATGCCTCCAGCTTTGTAACTCCTCAACAGATGGAAGTACTGGTATGTGTTAGGTACTGGCTTGTTCAGTAGACTCTCCTCTACAGTTCCATTTGGAGGGTTGAATGGAAAGTAATGCCTCCACCTACGTAACTCCTCAACACATGGCAGTACTGGTATGTGTTAGGTACTGGCTTGTTCAGTAGACTCTCCTCTACAGTTCCAGGTGTTGAGGTGGGAACATCTGAGTTGCGTGACAAACAAAGAGTTGGGCGTCCTGTGACAGCAACCACCAAGTTTCACAAGTAAAAGGTGGACAGATTGATTCAGGACGATCGTCGTATCACTCAGAGAGAAATTTCAAGCATAATCAGCATTTCACAAGAACAGGTGACCTTTTGCAGTTGACAGACCAGGATTTTGTCGACGTTTATTGTTTCCAAATGCCGGCTGAGATCTTTTCGCACGGCACCCAGTGTGCCTATTATTACCACTGGGACCACCTATACTGGTTTATGCCACTTTATTATGGAATTATTATTATTATTATATTTATACCCTGCTTTATCTCTCCTGAAGAGGGATCAAACCGGCTTAACATAAATCTATCCGCATGCAATTTAGAATACACCAATATGCAAACCTTAAATTAATTAAATTAAATTAATTTATTTAATTTAATTTAAATTCAATACAAACGGTATTTTTAAAATTCCAAGTTAGGTTTTTGTGGTTTTTTTCGGGCTATAGGGCCATGTTCTAGAGGCATTTCTCCTGACGTTTCGCCTGCATCTATGGCAAGCATCCTCAGAGGTTGAGAAGGTCTGTTGGAACCAGCCTGGACACAGCATATGATTTGAGAACACAGAAATGCTGGACCACACCAACAACCACCATGTCAGACTACACAGAGAAGCCATTGAAATCCACAAGAAGCATGTGGACAATTTCAACAGAAAGGAAGAGATCATGAAAATGAACAAAATCTGGCCCCCAGTATTAAAAAACTCTAAAATTACAACAGCAAAACAGCAGAGAGGAAACAACCAGGCACATCTTAACACCTCTCAACAGAACATTTTCCCAGGCTTACCAGGCCTTCAAATGCTAATGAAGGTGGTCAGCTGAAACATTCACACCTAGCTCCAGCAGAGAAGAGCTCTTTGCCCCACCCCAGCCATTCCACAGATATATAAACCCATTTTTCCTACTTCCAACAGACCTCACAACCTCTGAGGATGCTTGCCATAGATACAGGCGAAACGTCAGGAGAGAATGCCTCTAGAACATGGCCCTATAGCCCGAAAAAACCCACGAGGACCTAGTGATTCCAGCCATGAAAGCCTTCGACAATACAATTCCAAGTTAAATCCGCATTAATGCTGCAGTGCGGCTGCACCCCAAGTGAAAACCAGCACAGAATTCCGCAGCAGGGGATCCAAACTGGGGTGCCATAATGGTGGTGGTTGCTGGGAGGAGGAGGATAGGAATTGCAATCCAACTCTCTTCAGACGGTTTTCCGGGCTGTTTGGCCTTGTTCCAGAAGCACTCTCTCCTGACGTTTCCCCCCCACCTCTGGCAGGCGTCCTCAGAGGCCTAAGCGGCTTCCTAGTCTAGACTCAGGATAGTGGGGCGGGGCTTGTGGTTGCCTCGGAGATGGGTAGAACGCCCCAATCACTGCATGCCCTCTATAGGGGTGGGAAAGCAGTAGCCAATGGGATCTTTCAGAGCCATTCCGAGGCACCGCCCCCTTTCCTCCAAGGTAAACAGCAGTCTATCCTTCTATTCACTTGCCCAGCCAATCGCGTCGGGCTTCGGTTCCCTAGGCTACGCGGGCAGCCAATAGGAACGTCCGTTTTCCACAGTCTTTCTCATATTCATCAGCCCACCCAATCGCGTTGGGCTTCGGTTTCCTAGGCGACGCGGGTGGCCAATAGGAACGTCCGTTTCAACAGCCTTTCTCATATTCATCGGCCCAACCAATCGCGTTGGGCTTCGGTTTCCTAAGCAAAGCGGGTGGCCAATAGGAACGTCCGTTTTCCACAGCCTTTCGCGTATTCATCAGCGCAGCCAATCGCGTCGGGCTTTGGTTTCCTAGGCGACGCGGACGGCCAATAGGGTCGTCCGTTCCCACAGTCTCTCGTCCTATTCGTCAGCACTGAAAGCGTCCCAGCCAATCGCGTCGAGCTTTGGTTTCCCAGGCAACGCGGGCGGCCAATAAGAGCGCGCACTGTCATGTGACCCGAGATTTGGTCGGACAGAGAAGGAGCAAGATGAAGGCTTTGTGGGCGAGGCTGGCGCTGCTGGTGGTGGTGGCCCTGGAGCCGGCCTTCGGGAGCAAATATTCGCGGGAGGCCAACCAGGGCCCGGCTTCCACTCCTGAGGCCGCCGCCCCCGCCGCCTTCCGCCTGGCCCGCCTCAACCAAGCCTGGGAGAAGGCCCAGCGGGTAAGGGGAAGGGGCTCCAAGGGGGAAGGGCCACAGGCCTCGGCCTTAGGCTCCTCGGGCCCTAGGGTTGGGAGGGGACCCCAAAGGCCATCTAGGCTGACCCCCTGAAAAGGGAGAGAGAGGGGCAGGAAGGTAATACTAATACTACTACTACTACTACTACTAATAATAATAATAATAATCTTCTATCTATAGAAATAAAAATGTAATGTTCATTTTGTGGGATTAAAATAACTCAAAAACCACTGGACGAATGGACACCCAATTTGGACCCAACACACCTCTCAGGCCAACGAGTGACCATCACTCATTAAAACACTGGAAAACACAGCAGAAGGGACTTAAAAAGCCAAAAATCAAAAATACATTACAAGGCATGTGCAAAACCACATATATGCATAAACACACATATGTACACATGTACATAAATATACAATCAAAAATACATTACAAGGCATGTGCAAAACCACATATATGCATAAACACACATATGTACACATGTACATAAGTATACAATCAAAAATACATTACAAGGCATGTGCAAAACCACATATATGCATAAACACACATATATACACATGTACATAAAACCACATATATGTACACATGTACATAAATATACAATCAAAAATACATTACAAGGCATGTGCAAAACCACATATATGCATAAACACACATATGTACACATGTACATAAATATACAATCAAAAATACATTACAAGGCATGTGCAAAACCACATATATGCATAAACACACATATGTACACATGTACATAAGTATACAATCAAAAATACATTACAAGGCATGTGCAAAACCACATATATGCATAAACACACATATATACACATGTACATAAAACCACATATATGTACACATGTACATAAATATACAATCAAAAATACATTACAAGGCATGTGCAAAACCACATATATGCATAAACACACATATGTACACATGTACATAAATATACAATCAAAAATACATTACAAGGCATGTGCAAAACCACATATATGCATAAACACACATATGTACACATGTACATAAATATACAATCAAAAATACATTACAAGGCATGTGCAAAACCACATATATGCATAAACACACATATGTACACATGTACATAAATATACAATCAAAAATACATTACAAGGCATGTGCAAAACCACATATATGCATAAACACACATATGTACACATGTACATAAATATACAATCAAAAATACATTACAAGGCATGTGCAAAACCACATATATGCATAAACACACATATGTACACATGTACATAAATATACAATCAAAAATACATTACAAGGCATGTGCAAAACCACATATATGCATAAACACACATATGTACACATGTACATAAATATACAATCAAAAATACATTACAACGCATGTGCAAAACCACATATATGCATAAACACACATATGTACACATGTACATAAATATACACATACATACACTCACAAAACACATATACACAGACTGGGCCACAGCAACAAATGGCAGGGGACAGCTAGTAAATCTATATAAATAAAAATGTCATGTTCATTTGTGGGATTAACAGAACTCAAAAGCACTGGATGAAATGACACCAAATTTGGACACAAGACAGCTCTCAGGCCAACGAGTGACCATCACTCATAAAAACACTGAAAGACACAGCGGAAGGGACTTAAAAAGACAAAAAATTAAAAAAATACATTACAACCATGTTCAAAACCACATATATATACAAACACACATATATGCACATATACACAAACATACACTCACTCATATACACACACACACAAAACATATACACAGACTGGGCCACAGCAACGCATGGCAGGGGACGGCTAGTCTATATAAATAAAAATGTCACGTTCGTTTGTGGGACGAACATAACTCAAAAACCACTGGACGAATTGACACCAAATTCGGACACTATATGCCTAACAACCCAATGTATGTCCTTCACTCAAAAAAAAAAAAAGCATCCGCAGAGGTAGTGAGGACGCTTGCCATAGTTGCAGGCGAAACGTCAGGAGAGAATGCCTCTAGAACATGACCATATAGCCCGAAAAAACCTACAACAACCCAGTGATTCCAGCCATGAAAGCCTTCGACAATAGAGAAATGATTCTGTCATTTGGGAGTTGTAGTTGCTGGGATTTATAGTTTACCTGCAATCAAAGAGCATTCTGAACTCCACCAATGATGGGATTGAACCAAACTTGGCACACAGTTCTCCCATGACCAACAGAAAATACTGGAAAGGTTTGGTGGACAGTGTCCTTTTGTTTTGGAGTTGTAGTTCACCCACATCCAGAGATCACTGTGGACTCAAACAATGATGGACCTGGACACAAATACTCAATATGCCCAAATGTGAACACTGGTGGAGTTTGGGGAAATAGAATCATGACATTTGGGAGTTGTAGCTGCTGGGATTTATAGTTCTCCTGCAATCACAGAGCATTCTGAACCCCACCAACGATAGAATTGGGCCAAACCTCCCACACAGAACCCCCATGTGGGCCACAGCAACGCAGCTAGTAAATAAATAAGGAGTGCTGGTGAGCCTGTGCCCTTACATCGGTTGCCCTTTCACTGTAATTAAAAGTTCCTTAACTGCTGAGATAGCCAGTAACAAATGATTAACTCTGTGAGTGAAAACAGCATGTTTACCTTGCCAAAGACAATGGCTCTTTTAAGAAAGGAAGTCAACCGAGTAGCTCCTTGAGAAAGAAAGCCGATTATCACTTAAGGAAAAGTCCAGGAACTGATGAGGTCAGCATGTTTGGGCTGATTTTTTTTCTGTTCCCAGTTTGAAAGTGTGATTTCCTGTTTAATTGTGTGGTCCAGACTTTGGAAGTAGTTGTTCTACTCTAGAAACTTTGTTTTTGTGGCTGGCACAAACTATGTTGAATTGGTTGAGAATTGATGATGATACTCACTGAAAAACTAGAGCAAAATGTGGTGCAGGATGATGGCCATGGTTGTGGTTTGGTGTGCAGAGAGGAGGCACAGAATAACAACAACGTCCAAAGGTCAAACTGGGCATCGCTTTCATACAAAGCCTGAGAGCCAGATGACCTTCTGGCCCTTTTAAATGCTACACTCACTCAGACCTTTCCTCCCTGCAGTGATTTGTGTGCTCATTAATTAACTAGAAAGAATATTGGTCCTCGGAGAATGCTAAATGCAATCCCTCTGAATTGCAAAGTCGTAGGAAGGATTGGCAGTCCACGTCCAGCTCAAAATGAATAGGTCTAGCACAGGTCTGGGCAAATTTGGACCCTCCATGTGTTTTGAGCTTCAACTCCTACAATTCCTAATAGCCATGGTTTTTAATGTATTTGTGTTGTTTTGATCATTCAATGCTTATGTTTTAGTATTTGGAAACTGCCCTGAGTCCCCTCGGGGAGATAGAGCAATATATAAATAAAGTATTATTATTATGTGAAGACATCTACCCTTGCGCTATGCTACTCTGCTGCTGAGTAGGCATGCCCAGTGTGGAACACATCTCACCACACGAAAACAGTAGATGTGGCTCTTAATGAGACATGCCGCATTATCACGGGGTGTCTGCGCCCAACACTACTGGAGAAATTACACTGTCTAGCCGGTATTGCACCACCTGACATCTGCTGGGAAGTAGCAGCCAATAGTGAAAGGACCAAGGCAGTAACATCTCCAGCTCATCCCTTGTTTGGGTATCAGCCAGCACGTCAACGACTTAAATCAAGAAATAGTTTTTTAAGATCTACAGAGACACTCGCTGGAACACCTCAGCAAGCGAGAGTCCAAAAGTGGCAGGCTCAAACCCAGAACTTCAATCAGTGGCCGATACCAAATGAGAAACTAGGGGCGGCTGAAGCAATAGGCAAGGTGTGCATTTGCGTATAGCACAAATCCCTGAGGGGTGCTCTTGAGGCGCCCTGCAGTCACTCACTCACTCATGCGTGGCTTGCAATGTGAAGGGCACACAAAAAACTGGGCGACTTGGAAGGCGCTGAACAGACTGCGCTCTGGCACCACGAGATGCAGAGCCACCCTTAAGAAATGGGGCTACAAAGTGGAATCCACAACATGCAAGTGTGGAGAAGAGCAGACCACCTGCAGCAATGCTACATGCACAATGGAGGACCTTCTTATAGTAACACCAGAGGCACCCCAAGTGGCCAGCTACTGGTCAAAGGACATTTAATCAACTACCAAGCTTGCAAACTTTGTGTTTTGTTTGTTTGTTAAAAATGCAATACAACTGTTTGGTTTGCTCCTGACGCAATAAAAAAAATATTATTATTATTATTATTATTATTATTATTATTTGAAACACCACAAGATGAGTCTACAGCAGACAAGATCACTCTGGTGGCTGTTGTATTGGATCACACGTCGGACACTTCCCAAGTGTCTAGGACTGTGTGATTATTATTATTATTATTATTTGAAACACAACAAGATGAGTCTACAGCAGACAAGATTACTCTTCTGGCTGTTGTATTGGATCACACGTCAGACCCTTCCCAAGTGTCTAGGACTGTGTGATGTATTGGTGAATAATGCTTGCAGATCCCATTATTATTATTATTGGTTTTGAGGAATTGTGGGGAGTTGAAGTCCAAAACACCTGGAGGGCCAAAGTTGGCCCATGCCTGGTCTACACTGTAGAAGGAATGTAATTGATACCACTTTGACTGCTATGGCACAATGTTATGGAAATGCAGGAGTTGCAGTTTTGCAAGGTCTCTTGGCCTATTCTTCCCACACTCCAGCTCCCGGGATTCCGTAGCATTGAGCCATGCCTATTCCAGTTTGGAGCAATTAGGACTCAATGGAGCTGTGGTTTCAAATGATTCCACCTGAGCTGTAAGGAGAGCTGTTCCTCAGTGGAACTGTGGTTTTGTATGTTTTTATGGATTTAATCTGAATTGTTTTTTAAACGAATGATATTTAATTCCTACTGGGTGTTAGGAATTGTGGGAGTTGGAGTCCAAAACACCTGGAGGACCAAAGTGTGCCCAGGCGCGCTGTAGATCATTGTCATGAAGGGGCTGGACCTCCATTTTCTGTGCAAACTGACTTGGCCTTCTTCTCTTTCGGCAGCTGCACCTCTCGGCCGTGAAGCTGGCCGAGCTGCACAGCGACCTGAAGATCCAGGAGAAGGACGAGCTTCAGTGGAAGAAGCTGAAGGCCGAGGGCCTCGACGAAGACGGGGAGAAGGAGGCCAAGCTCAGGCGCAACCTGAACGGTAAGAGAGCGGGAGGAGGGTTGACACACTGTGCCGACTGGGATTCGGAGTCACCGGGGAGCCACACAGAGGAGGCCCTCCCAGATAAGAGGTCTTTCAATAGAGCATGGTATAAAGGAGCTTTAGAGGTATGGGTGATAAATCAATATCCCACCACTGCAAAACCCAATTATAATAACTCAAAAGAGACTCTTACAGGGTTTGAGGGGATGTCACGTTGTGTAAAACTTTCGCTGCCACCAAACTAAACAAATCACGAACCCTCTAGCTATTAGTCTGTTAAAAGGCTGTTTAAAATCACCACAAGTCTTTTTTACTCCACCATTAAATAAAATACTGTTGTATTAACAAGGGCTTTCTTAGAGGGGAAAACAGGAGAGGTTGACTCGATAAGGAAAGGGACTCAAAACCAAAAATAGCACTTGACTCAGGCTTTAAGTTTAAAAACAATCAAGAAAGAGTTTATTGAAGTTCAAGTTACAGAATTATAAGCGAATGCAGGTTCAGAGGCTTGATGGTTACAGATAAAAGAGTTCTTGTTTCTTATAAGCGTATTGGTTACTTGAGAGAATGTTCTTTGCTTAGTTACAATTGCTTAAACACAACAACCCAGCTATTTTTCTCTTCAAATAGCTGCAATCTCAGTCTATCACAGCTTACTGTGCTGTACAGACTAAAGGCAAACTGCCTTTTCTTCACAGAGACTCCTAACAATCCAAATCTTTCTCAGAACTCAAACTGCTCACTACTCTTCTCATAACTCAGCTGAACTAAACTCTCAAACTGTCAAAACTCACTGTTCTCTTTCCCTCCTTCTGCCTAACTCCGCCCCTATTTCCTAGGCCAATCCTAGCTGTTGCTGGGCTGGCACAGGCCTCAGCCACTCCCCCTTCTGCCCTGGAGCTTTTCCCTGCTCTAAAATGGCTCCAGCAGCACTCTGCCAGGCCTTCTAACTGAATCTACCTAGCCTGTCTTTTCCTGGCCCTGCCACCCTGGCTGGCAAGGTAAGGGATCTTTACATTCCCTCCCCACCTCAAGATGGTTTGCGGAGTGAAAAGGTCTGCAGACCTTTTCGGAAGCAAAGCCTGACACTGTACTAGGCCCAACTAACCCCCTTTCTATCTATCTAATCCTAGCTAAACTAGCTATCTATGTACATACTTACATTTGCAATACAAAACCCTTATGCAATAAAACATCTATGCAAGTAAATACATTTTGCAATCAACATCCAAAATACATTACACACAATAAATACAATCCTGTAAGGGAAAAAACATGTTAAATATATCATAACATTGCATATAATCACTCTAATACAGTAAATACTATACCTTTTGTATGGAATGCCTCCTGACATTCTATATACATATAATATCTATACTCTTACCTATATTTATATTAAACTGTTAATATCATCCATATTTTCATCTATATATATCAATATTTTACTATCATAAAGAATCTTACACTTATGACCAAGTTTAAATAATCTGGATAGATTTAAGTCTCTATATCCAAACACAAATTAGTTCATTACTAAGGGTCTTTCTGTCTGTTATAGGGTTATAACACAGAAGGAATTTCTCTTCTATTCTAGTAAACAGTCTATTTCAACCATTTCCATATTTACATCTAACTATATTTTGTCTTATTAGCAAAACCTACATATCTAACACACTTTACAAGAATATTCTACACATCATACCTACTGTATGAAACATATACAATTCACTACTTGTAATAACACTAGATACTTTACAAGACTGCAATTGACCCGATTAACCAATTCTTAGATAACACACTATCATATATCTTTTGACATTAACACTTTTACCACTCAATGGGTTATTTGGGTCTGGCCCTTGTGGATAATAAAYTTGTTTGMTTCTTTTRTCCTTCACCCAATTCCAATTCTCCTCCCTKTATTATTCAGTTGTACATTACAGCCGGCCAGTCCATTTTTRACAYTATTACATTCGTTGGCAGTCTTTGACCCTAACACATAAGGTTCCTCCCAAGAAACCTCCAGTTTCTTTTTAGATCTTGGTTCTGAAACCAGGACCTCCTCTCTCACATCAAAACATGGGTGTCTTATGTGAAGACCCGCTTGCTCCTTCTGCTGCAGCTGGGCAGTTGACCAACTCTCGGCTGCGCAGTCTCTCATGGTNGCGTGTAGATCCGCCTGTTCCTTCTGCTTCAGCTGGGCAGTTGACAAACTCTCGGCTGCGCAGTCTCTCATGCTGGTTAAATGTTCCCTTAAGTCCTCAATGTAGCTGTTGATATCACTCTCCGGAATGTCCTCTGCTCCTGTCCATGCTTCCTTCAAAATGTCCATAGGTCCTCTTGGTGTTCTCCCATATAGCAGTTCAAATGGGCTGAACTTGGTGCTGGCTTGTGGAACCTCCCGATAAGCAAACAAGAAGTGTTGTAGTTTCTTGTCCCAATCATTAGGGTTCTTGTGGACGTACGCCTTCAGCATGTGGTTGAGGGTACCGTTGAATCTTTCCGTCAAGCCGTTGGTTTGAGGATGGTATGGAGTAGAAGTAAGATGCTTGATCTTGCAGGTCCGGAACAGCTCTTGCATCATCTGGGACATGAAGGTGGCTCCAAGATCTGTGATGATAGATCTGGGAAAACCCACGCGTGCAAATACATTGAGCAGCGCGTCTGCCACTGTTTTGGCGTCCGTTTCCTTCAATGGAATTGCCTCTGGGTATCGCGTGGCAAAGTCCACGGCAGTCAAGATGAATCTATGTCCATCAAGCGTCTTGTGGGACATAGGGCCAATGTTGTCTACTCCGACCTTGTCAAAGGGAACAGTGACAACTGGAATGGATTGTAACAGTCCTTTTGTCTTGTCTTTGGCTTTTCCCACCATTTGACAAGTCTCACAGGATTTACAATAGGCTGTCACATCACCTCCCATTCCAGGCCAAAAAAATCTTGACTGTATGCGATCTTTGGTTTTCCTGATACCTAGGTGTCCACTGAATGTGGTATCATGGGCTAGCTTGAGGATTTTAGCCCTATACTTTTGTGGAACTACCAGTTGTGTTCTTTCCTCAAAGAATTTGGGACCTTTCTGTCTCCTCACAACTCGGTACAATTTATTCTCCACAACTTTCAACATAACTGGATTTTCACTTGTGGGTGTGTGGTTTTCTGGGACCACTTCATCCCATAAGGGTTTTAAGCTTTCATCACGTCGTTGAGCTGCTTCAAACTGCCTCATATGGCTTTGGCTCAAACTGAAGGGAATTTCTTGGCTGACATTTTCATTTTGTGAGGTAGATGGTTGCTCATCTGTAACAGTGTATTCAGCCTCCCTATCTCGTTCAGCTTGGCTTCTGGTCTGGTAATAATATTAACATTTCTGCAGCGCTCAGCCAAATCATTGCCCAACAATACTGGCACTTCTAGATCATTAAACAATCCCATTCTCCATTTTCCAGTGAAGTTCTTATATTCTATTGGGATTTCAGCCACTGACACTTCGAACACAGGGCCATAAATTCCTCTCAGCTTGTACTTTTGGCCTGGAAGTATCTGGTCTGCCTTGACAAACTCTGGCCTAATGAGCGATACTTCAGACCCAGTGTCTCTGAATCCCATTAGTTCTTGACCCTTTACTTTGATCACCCTCAAATAATCTCCATTTGACTCCTTCTCAGTACTCCATACACGCATTATCTTCACAGGCTCTTCCTGTGCATGTGGAGACTGACTTTCTTCGTGTGGAGATATTTGCCTAACCACCTTAACCGGCTTTGGTGGTGTAACTGGCCTTTTCTGGGTGTTTAATTTGGGGCAAGCCGTTTTCTTATGACCCTCTTGATGGCAGAAGTAGCAGACAAGTTTTCCTGTGCCAATCTCTGGAATGCGGTCCCTCCTGACAGGATTTTGGTTTCCTACGTCAGTTTTCTCTTTTGGAACCCATTCCCTCGGTCTCTTGGTGGCTCCTGAGCCATGACTCACATTCCAGTCATGCTCCATCTCATCCAACCAAGCCGCGAGATCTGACACTTGTTTAATCTTCTTGTCCCTCACAAACCACCTCATTTGAATGGGAATCAGTCTATAAAACTGCTCCATACAAACTAAGTGTTTTAACTCCTCAAAAGTGGTTGTTTTACTCCCTTCCAGCCATCTATCTAAGGCTTTTTCCATTCGGCTTCCCAACTGTGAAAAGGTTTCTCCTGGCTTCCTTTTGATCTCCCTGAACATCTTTCTACTTTGTTCAGGAGTCAAGCCAAACCTCAGCTTCACCCTTTCTTTAAATATGAGGTAATTCCCGCTCTCTGTCTCTCGCAGATCAGCATAAACCTCATTAAGTTCCCCACAAAGCAGGGGCCTCAGGTACACCATCATTTTATCTTCAGGTACCTCAAAATCATGAGCAGCCCGTTCAAATGCAGCGAGAAATGACTCGACGCAGTCCCCTTTTACATAACGGGGAAAGTTCTTTAACACCCTTTGCATGTTAGAGTCTTGCTGTTGGCTTAAGTTAGGAGTTCTCTCATGTTCTCTAAATTGTAGTTCTGCCATTCTCTCCTCATGTTTTAACCGTCCTTTCTCTTTCTACCTCAGCCATTCTTTCTCTCTGCCTTTCTTCAGCTTGCCTTTCTCTCTGCCTCTCCTCAGCTTGCATTCTTTCTCTCTCCAATTCAATCATTCTTTCCTTCTCCCTTTCTTGAATCTTTTCTCTTTCTCTTTCAGCCTGAAACTCAAGTTCTTTCAACTTCATTTCCAGCCTAAGCTTTTCAATGGCCAAAGAGGTAGCTATCTGTTCTTGTCTACCCTCTGGTATTTGGGTCTCCTCAACTACAGACGCAGTAGTTTCCCCTTCTCTCTCTGGATCTTCAGGAGTGCCCTTTTTTGTCTTTGGTGGTGCCATGGCCTAATGTGTTGTAAAATGTCGCTAGAGGTGTTCACTCTCTGAGGTAATTCTTGGTGTCACTTTCTGACAAACTTTTACCTCAGGATTTACACAAAAATGCCCTGGATTGAGGTGTTACACGAATCCACACCGCTGCAAACCAATTATAAAGGAGCTTTAGAGGTATGGGTGATAAATCAATATCCCACCACTGCAAAACCCAATTATAATAACTCAAAAGAGACTCTTACAGGGTTTGAGGGGATGTCACGTTGTGTAAAACTTTCGCTGCCACCAAACTAAAGAAATCACGAACCCTCTAGCTATTAGTCTGTTAAAAGGCTGTTTAAAATTACCACAAGTCTTTTTTACTCCACCATTAAATAAAATACTGTTGTATTAACAAGGGCTTTCTTAGAGGGGAAAACAGGAGAGGTTGACTCGATAAGGAAAGGGACTCAAAACCAAAAATAGCACTTGACTCAGGCTTTAAGTTTAAAAACAATCAAGAAAGAGTTTATTGAAGTTCAAGTTACAGAATTATAAGCGAATGCAGGTTCAGAGGCTTGATGGTTACAGATAAAAGAGTTCTTGTTTCTTATAAGCGTATTGGTTACTTGAGAGAATGTTCTTTGCTTAGTTACAATTGCTTAAACACAACAACCCAGCTATTTTTCTCTTCAAATAGCTGCAATCTCAGTCTATCACAGCCTACTGTGCTGTACAGACTAAAGGCAAACTGCCTTTTCTTCACAGAGACTCCTAACAATCCAAATCTTTCTCAGAACTCAAACTGCTCACTACTCTTCTCATAACTCAGCTGAACTAAACTCTCAAACTGTCAAAACTCACTGTTCTCTTTCCCTCCTTCTGCCTAACTCCGCCCCTATTTCCTAGACCAATCCTAGCTGTTGCTGGGCTGGCACAGGCCTCAGCCACTCCCCCTTCTGCCCTGGAGCTTTTCCCTGCTCTAAAATGGCTCCAGCAGCACTCTGCCAGGCCTTCTAACTGAATCTACCTAGCCTGTCTTTTCCTGGCCCTGCCACCCTGGCTATTTAAGGTAAGGGATCTTTACACATGGCATGGCAGATGGAGGTTGGGCTAGATTATTTATTTATTCATTTATCTGCCATATTTATATACCGCCTTTCTCAGCCCGAAGGCGACTCAAAGCGACTAAATGGCCCTTGGGTGTCCCTTCCAACACTTCAGATTCCGTAATGGTGGATGATGTGATGTCCGTGCTTGATTCATAGAATCATAAAGTTGGAAAGGGACTCCAGCTGCCATCTAGTCCCACCCCTTCTGCCAGGCAGGGAGGCACTATCCAAGCCCTCCAGACAGATGGCTGGCCCTCCTCTCCTCAAAAACCCCCAGAGGAGGCAATTCCAAAAAGCTCTTACAGGCTGTCAGGAAGTTCTTACAAGCTGTCAGGAAGTTCTTCCTCACGTTTAAGTGGGATCTCTGTTCCTGCCATTTTCCAGTCAACCTGACATCGATACCAGGAATGTTTCTGGAGTAGATCATTAAACAGATAACGTGTCGGCTCTTAGAAAGGAATGTCATGGTTGCTAATGATCAACAGGCCTTTGTTTCCCTTGCGGGGTGGAGGTGGGGGGGGGGGTCCCTTCTGAGGCCTGGTCCCATCCGCCAAAAGCTTTGTGTGCTCAAGGTTCTTGTGGGTTTTTTCGGGCTATAGGGCCATGTTCTAGAGGCATTCTCTCCTGACGTTTCACCTGCATCTATGGCAAGCATCCTCAGAGGTAGTGAGGTCTGTTGGAAATAGGAAAATGGGTTTATATATCTGTGGAATGGCTGGGGTGGGGCAAAGAGCTCTTCTTTGCTGGAGCTAGGTGTGAATGTTTCAGCTGACCACCTTCATTAGCATTTGAAGGCCTGGTAAGCCTGGGGGAATCTTTTGTTGAGAGGTGTTAAGATGTGCCTGGTTGTTTCCTCTCTGCTGTTTTGCTGTTGTAATTTTAGAGTTTTTTAATACTGGCAGCCAGATTTTGTTCATTTTCATGGTCTCTTCCTTTCTGTTGAAATTGTCCACATGCTTGTGGATTTCAATGGCTTCTCTGTGTAGCCTGACATGGTGGTGGTGAGAGTGGTCCAGCATTTCTGTGTTCTCAAATAAAATGCTGTGTCCGGGTTGGTTCCTCAGGTGCTCTGCTATGGCTGACTTCTCTGGTTGGAGTAGTCTGCCGTGCCTTCCATGTTCCTTGATCCGTGTCTGGGCAATGCTGCTGCGTTTGATGGTCCCTCTGGAGACTTCTTGCCACAGCTGCATGGTATACAATGGTAGACTCCTGCAGAGGTGAGAGGATCCCTCTTGTCCTTTGCTGAACGGAGCATTGGTTGGATTTTCTTGGTGGGTGTGGAGATAGTTTATATGTTGTGTTTCCTCCTCAGCTTCCCTCTGCGGTCAGTGGTTCCCTTGATGTCTGGCAAGAACACTTTCCCTCTGGATGGATCTTCGTCTTGACTCTCATGGCTTCTTCTCGGTGGTCTTGCAGCTCTTCTGATGTTTGAGGTGGAGTCTCCATTGGCCTAGAGAGCCCAGTTGAGGTGGTTCAGTTCATCTTGGAGGAGGTGGGGTTCACAGATTCTTTTTGCACGGTCTGCCAAGGCTTTAATGGTGCTTCTTTTTTGATTTGGGTGATGGTTGGAGTTTTTATGTAGATATCTATCTGTGTGTGTGGGTTTTCTGTAAACAGTGTGACCCAATTGTTGATCTGGTTTACGGATGACAAGGATATCTAGAAAAGGCAGTTTTCCTTCATTCTCTTCTTCCATGGTGAACTAGATGTTTGGGTGGATGCTGTTAAGATGTTCCAGGAACCTGTTGAGTTCTTCTTCTCCATGGCTCCAAATGGTGAAGGTGTCATCCACATATCTGAACCATATGTTTGGGTGGATGCTGTTGAGATGGTCCAGGAACCTGTTGAGTTCTTCTTCTCCATGGCTCCAAATGGTGAAGGTGTCATCCACATATCTGAACATATCGTGGGCTTTTTGGTTGCTGTCTCCAGGGCTTGTTTTTCAAAGTGTTCCATGTAGAAGTTAGCTATGACTGGGCTGAGAGGGCTCCCCATCGCTACTCCATCTTTCTGTTCGTAGAATTCATTGTCCCACTGAAAGTAGCTGGTGGTGAGGCAATGGTGAAACAGAGCCGTGATGTCTTCTGGGAACCTCTGGTTGATGAGTGCCATGGTGTCTGCTACCAGGACCATGGTAAATAGAGATACCACATCGAAGCTGATCAGTGTTACAAAGCCATATTGGGCTCACTACACACTACATCAAGGACTCAGCCCACTTCATAGAAAAAATCAGCAATCTCAAGCTAAATACCAATGACAAACTGATCAGCTTCGATGTGATATCTCTATTTACCATGGTCCCAGTAGCAGACACCATGGCACTCATCAACCAGAGGTTCCCAGAAGACATTCCACAGATATATAAACCCATTCTCTATTTCCAACAGACCTCACTACCTCTGAGGATGCTTGCCATAGATGCAGGCGAAACGTCAGGAGAAATGCCTCTAGAACATGGCCCTATAGCCCGAAAAAACCTACAAGAACCTAGTGATTCCAGCCATGAAAGCCTTCGACAATACATTTGTGTGCTCAGTCCCTGTGCCTCCCTACAGCAGTGGGGTGTTTCCCAATTTTGAGCACCAAGCAAACTCTTGGGGAGCCTGGCATTGCAGGCACTTGGCAACCCCAAGGCGGACTTAGCAGCAGAGTCTTTTTTGCAATATTTGCTCATTTGCATCTGCCTTCCTCGGAGGCTGAGAGAGTGTGACTTCCCCAAGACCACCCGGTGGGTCTCCATAGCCAAGTGGGTCTTCCAACCACAGTCCCCTAGAGGCTGGGACCTCTTACGCCATGTTCTTTGGGGCAAAGTCCAGCGATCAAGAGTGTATACCGTAGTCAAAAGCCAGTCCAAGATTCAAGGTTCCAGGATTCCAAAGGTTCAGGAGACAGGTCAGGACACCGAAAATACAACAGACCTGGGGGGAAACCAGCAGCATCTACCACCAAAATATGAGAATACTTTTCTCCCGAAGATCACTTCCAAGGCTCGCTCCTTATATCCAGAGACACCCAGCTGCAACCCATCTCTTGCATCCCTCCACCCTTCATTGCTTTCACCCATGAACTCTTACTTACAGATTACTCAACCCTTTAGAACTAAGACTTACATTAACCCTTCCATCAACTGCAGAACATATGACATCAAGCATGCTTCGGAGGCATCAATAGCCGCTACCCGGGCTGAAAGGTCCAGCGCTTGTTCTTGCTTGTGTTTCCTCCTTAGTGATCTTGGCCAAATACGGGATGAACGGGAAGAGGGACGCTCCCCCCGGGGCCACCAACTTCATCAAGGACGGCCTGGAGGAGGAGGACCTGCTGGACGACCCCCGGCTGGCCAAGCTCTGGAACAAGGTGCGGGCGCATTGGAGGGAAGAGGCTTGGGGGGCGCCGGGCTGGTTTCTGTCAGAACGTGGGTTTAAATGGCATGAAATATTATTATAGTTTAGACTGCGTGATGTAGCAATGTAGGAGCCTAGTATCTATATCTAGGGAAGTCTTGCTCCCCATGCTCTATTCTGCCTCGGTTAGACCACATCTGGAATATTGTGTCCAGTTCTGGGCACCACAGTTCAAGAGAGATATTGACAAACTGGAATATGTACAGAGGAGGGCGACTAAAATGATCAAGGGTCTGGAGAACAAGCCCTATGAGGAGCGGCTTAAGGAGCTGGGCATGTTTAGCCTGAAGAAGAGAAGGATGAGAGGAGATATGATAGCCATGTATAAATATGTGAGAGGAAGCCACAGGGAGGAGAAGGGAGCAAGCTTTCTTCCTGATTCCCTTGAGACGAGGACGCAATGGAGCCATGGCTTCAAACTACAAGAAGGAGATTCCACCTGAACACGAGGAAGAACTTCCTGACTGTGAGAGCCGTTCAGCAGTGGAACTCTCTGCCCCGGAGGGAGTGTGGTGGAGGCTCCTTCTTTGGAAGCTTTGAAACAGAGGCTGGATGGCCATCTGTCAGGGGTGCTTTGAATGCAATTGTCCTCCCTCTTAGCAGAATGGGGTTGGACTGGATGATGGCCCAGGAGGGCTCTTCCAACTCTAGGATTCTAATGCAAGAGTGAAATGCATAGAGCTGTGATAGGTTGCTAGAACATAGTTACATTCCACCAGATCTGATAACCATGTTCTCTTGTTTCCAACAATGTACGGTTAGGTGGATGGATGGGTTTTCTTTACTTCTGTAAATAGTTTGTAGTTTTAGTATTTGCAATAAAGGAAGCCACTCCAGGCTTTGGAGTTGATCTAGGGTAGCATGGTATACTTATTTATTGTGCTTCCAAGCAGACACCGGAGAGCCAAGGAGTATTTAGACTAGAGAGAGGGGCCATTGATCTCAATAAATCAAGTTTCGAGTCTCCCCTGTTTCCACAACTGGGAGCTGCTTCCTGAGAAACTCAGCCTGGGTAGAAATTAATGAAATGAAACCCAATAGAAACACATGCGAATCCCAACACTGAGCCACAAAAACCAAATGCACAGGAATAAGATCAGCATTGATCACTATCTTGTTCTTCTTTCTGGCAATGCAATTTTTTTAATTGCCTTGAACAGGCAGGATTACTTCTAATATGTGTGTGTTATGGCCACAATTTTTATGCTTATATATTTTTTGTTAATCTTACAGTTATATTGTTATTATTATTATTATTATTATTATTATTATTATTATTATTATTTACTTGGTGCTCTTATGGGCCAGTCTTTGAATGTTCTACTTACAGATTCTGTGAAAAGGGTTCCAATTATTTTGAAAATTTTGTATTTCTAAGGAGACAACTTAGTTCATCACATTCTGTAAAGCAGTGGTTCTCAACCTGGGAGTCGGGACCCCTGGAGGGGTCGCAAGGGGGTGTCAGAGGGGTCGCCAAAGACCATCACAGACTGTATTTTCTGTTCGTCATGGGAGTTCTGTGTGCCAAGTTTGGTCCAATTCCATCGTTGGTAGAGTTCTGAATGCTCTTTTAATGTAGGTGAACTATAAATCCCAGCAACAACAACTCCCAAATGTCAAGGTCTATTTTCCTCGAATTTCACCAGTGTTTACATTTGGGCATATTGAATATTGGTGCCAAGTTTGATCCAGATCCATCATAGTTTGAATCCACAGTGCTCTCTGGGTGTAGGCAAACTACAACTCCCAAACTCAAGGTCAATGCACACCAAACCCTTCCAGTATTTTCCGTTGGTCATGGGAGTTCTGTGTGCCAAGTTTGGTCCAATTCCACGGTTGGTAGAGTTCTGAATGCTCTTTGAATGTAGGTGAACGATAAATCCCAGCAACTACAATTCCCAAATGACAAAATCAATCCTCCCATCCCAACCCCACCAGTATTCAAATTTGGGCATATTGGGTATTTGTGCCAAATTTGGTCCAGTGAATAAGAATACACCCTGCATATCAGATATTTACATAACGATTTATAACAGTAGCAAAATTACAATTATGAAGTAGCAATGACAATAATTTAATGTTCCTCCACCACATGAGGAGCGGTATGAAGGGGTCGCGGCATTAGGGACGTTGAGAATCACTGCTGTAAAGTCTGGCAATTGGGTCAACCGTTTGTTTACAGATGGAATAATACTTTCCTTCCAGTGTGTGGCATAAACTATTCAGGCAACATTTTGAGAGAAAACAATATTGTTTCCTATTGAGGATGCCAGTCCCAACAAACATATCTCTGAGTTGCTGTGAGGTTCCCGGGCTGATGAAAAACGGTGTATTCTGTTGTAAAATTCTTACCCTATTTCTTTAAGAAAACTTGTGCACCAGTTGTGCCCGTACCTCGGGAAGTCTGATCTGGCCACAGTGGTCCACGCTCTTGGTACATCCCGTATAGACTACTGCAACACACTCTACGTGGGGTTGCCCTTGAAGACTGTTTGGAAACTTCAACTGGTCCAACGAGCGGCAGCCAGATTGATTACCTGAGCGACATACAGGGAACACACCACCCCCTTGTTGTGTCAGCTCCACTGGCTGCCGATTCAGTTCCGAGCACAATTCAAGGTGCTGGTTTTGACCTACAAAACCCTTTACAGTTCCGGTCCAGCGTATCTGTCTGAACTGTGTCCCAGAGAGTGAAGGAACTGCAAGAATGTCAGTTTTCGCCTATTTGATCATTTCCCTCTATGTCCCATCCCGGAAATTGAGATCATCTGGGGAGGCCCTTCTCTCGACCCCACTGCTATCACAGGTGAGGCTGGTGGGGACGAGGAGCAGGGCCTTCTCAGTGGTGGCCCCTCACCTGTGGAACACATTCCCGGGGGAAATCAGGGCATCTACATCCCTCCTTGCCTTCAGGAGGAAGGTAAAGACGTGACTATGGGACCAGGCCTTTGGACACCCTGACAGTTAGATATAGAAACCAGATGGATAGGACCGATCATGTGTGGTAGTAGAACCTAAACTATGAGTCTGTTAAACGCTGACCAGCAATGAGGTTTGTATTGCTTTTATTGTTTTATTGCTTTTACAGGTTTTATGGTTGTTTTGATAATAATTTATTGCTGATGTTAATGGTTACCACTGCTATAATTGTTGTCATATAATGCGGGCGTTGAACTGTACCTCGCTTGTGTAAGCCGCCCTGAGTCCCCCCCAGGGTGAGAAGGGCAGGGTATAAGCAACCGTAATAAATAAATAAATAAATAAGAGCCGTCCAATCTGCATGGGCTTTATGACTGTTTCCAAGCTGAGTCTCACTGATGCAATTCAATTTTCTTGCCAAGGTGACTCTTTGCTGGAATGAGCTTTCTGATTGGCCTCTCCCCCCCCCCCCCCCCACTCTGCAGGCCAAGGCCTCGGGCAAGTTCTCTGAGGAGGAGCTGGAGAAGCTCTGGAGGGAGTTCAAGCACCACAAAGAGAAGGTCCGGGAGTACGATATCCTGCTGGAGACCGTGAGTCGCACCGAAGGTACCTGGGCTTTCGTTGGTGGGCTCCGTAGGGTTTGTGGGGAGTGGGGTGGGAGTGCCATTGGACATCCATTGCAGTAAATACTGTGTCCAATTCTGGGCACCACAATTGAAGGGAGATGTTGACAAGCTGGAATGTGTCCAGAGAAAGAGGGCGACTAAAATGATCAAAGGCCTGGAGAACAAGCTCTATGAGGAGCAGCTTAAGGAGCTGGGCATGTTTAGCCTGAAGAAGAGAAGGCTGAGAGGAGATATGATGAGGGCCAGGTATAAGTATGTGAGAGGAAGCCACAGGGAGAACGACCACTTAGATTGGAATGAGGCTTCTGTGACTAAAAGCCCGAAAACCCAAAAAGCTGTAAAGAAAGCTGAAACTTTCTTCTGGCCGAAAATCCCTTTTTGAAAGCCCTCTGGCACCCACCAACTTAGAAGCGCTGATAAGCCCTTGGCTTACTTGAGGTATCTTAGGCAAGAGTGCGTTGGATTAGCCCTCAGGCTTGTGTTCTGAAGTATCACTAAAAGATTGTTCTATACAATATATGCTGTCACCATTAAACTCCTGATTCCTGCAGGAAACTGCTTTTAAAACTTCACCCACAGAGGCACACGTGAGGCAGATGTTGTGAACAACAAAACAGTGATGTTTATTTAAGAGAACAGGAACAATTCAGGTATAAAGCTTAGCTGTTTCAGAGTATTGTCTTAAAAGCGTGTGGTTACATAAAGCAGTTCAGACTTAGTTACACAGAAACACTTCTCTCTCACTCCTCTACCAGCTATTTCCCTAATAGCTGTGGAATTATTTATTATTATTTATTTATTTATTTATTACTTGCACTTATTAACCGCCACTCTCAGCCCTAGGGCGACTCGTGGCGGTGTACAAAAACATAGAAAAGACAATTTACAATAAATCGTGACAACAGACAACATTCTACTACTACATAACATCTACTTATACTAAAAATCCGCATCGTCTTAACATGGGGTCATAATCAATCTCATAGTCGTGGTCCATTCCGGTCGTCATATCACATAGCACTCAATTGAAGGCCATCTCAAAGAGCCATGTTTTCAGGCCCTTACGGAAGGCCATGAGGGAAGGCGCCTGTCTAACTTCAGCAGGGAGGGTGTTCCACAGCCGGGGGGCCACCACCGAGAAGGCCCGCTCTCTCGTCCCCGCCAGGCGTGCCTGTGAGGCAGGCGGGACCGAGAGAAGGGCCTCCCCAGATGATCTCAAGGTCCTCGTGGGCTCATAGGCCGAGATGCGGTCTGCAAGGTATTTTGGTATATAGCTGCATCCCTAGTGTAATAGACCAATTTCAGGCCTCTCTACTCCCTCCTCTCTATGACTTCCCATCACATATGTATACATGGCTATCATGTCTCCTCTTAGCCTTCTCTTCTTCAGGCTAAACATTCTCAGCTCTTTCAGCCACTCCTCATAGGGCTTGACCCTTGATCATTTTAGTTGTCCTCATCCTGTCTCCTCTCAGCCTTCTCTTCTGCAGGCTAAACATACCCAGCTCTTTCAGCCGCTCCTCATAGGCCTTGTTCTGGAGGCCAAAGAGACTTTATGGACACCCTGGACTTAAATTGCTGACAAAATTCAGTTCGTTCATTCTGGAAATGAGAGGAGCCACTTGTCAGCCCCTCACTCATGTTTTTCTCTGGTCTTTTGTGCCCCCCCCCCCCGGTTTTCCCTGTGTCCAGACAGCCATAAGAACATGATCACCCAGGAGGAGGGGGAGGAGGAGGAGGAAGGGAGCCCCTTCCGGGAGGAGCGCCTGCACAGGAAGCACTCGGAGCTCAAGGAGAAGATGCACAGCATCAGCCAGGGATTCGAGCGCCTGCGCCGCGTCGCACACCAGGGATACGACCCCTCCAGCGGTACGGACGGACAGACAGACCCCACCCCTCCCTTGAGTGTCCTGTAGGTTGTGCAGGTAGACCTCGGCCCAGACATGGGCCACCTTTGGCCCTCTCTCCAGGTGTTTTGGACTCCAACTCCCACCATTCCTAACAGCCTACCGGCTTAGAGAAGAATAGTTGCATAGCTGTGCAACTATTCTTCTCTAGGAACCTCTGTATTACACTGTAATACAATGACGTAATAGCATGAATAGATCAAGCAGGGCAGATCCTGAAGCCAGGTTCTGTCCGGACTGCAGGGAAACAGGCTCTGATCCTGGGCCCTGCCGAATTCTGTAGTTGTAGAGCTGCTCTTTGGCTTTCCGTTGGTAGCACGGTCCTGCTTTTCCTTCCAGAATTCCAGGAGCCCCGCGTGATTGACCTGTGGGACATGGCCAAGTCCACCAACTTCACCGAGAAAGAGCTGGATTCACTCCGGGTGAGTCTCCTCAAGCCTCCTCTGGACAGTTTTAATTAGGGGATCCTGGGGTGCAGCTACACTGTAGAACTATTATTATTATTATTATTATTATTATTATTATTATTATTATTATTATTACTAGCTGTACCCACCATGCGTTGCTGTGGCCAACGTTCCACCCTCTTTCTCTTCTTTCTTTCTCTCCTTCCTTCCCTCACTCTTTCCTCCCTTCCTTCCCTTTTTTTTCTTTTTCTCTCCTTCCTTCCTTCTCTACCTCTTTCCTTCCTTCTGTCTTTTCTTCCTTTATTTCTCTTTCCTTCTCTCCCTCTTTCCTTCCTTTCCTTCTCTCCTTCCTTCCTTCTCTACCTCTTTCCTTTCTTCCCCTTTTTCTTTTCCTTCTCTTCTTTCCTTCCTTCCTTCCTTCTCTCTTTTCTTCCTTCTTTCTTTCTTTCCCTCCCTCTTTCTCTTCTTTCTTTCTCTCCTTCCTTCCCTCACTCTTTCCTCCCTTCCTTCCTTTTTTTCTTTTTCTCTCCTTCCTTCCTTCTCTACCTCTTTCCTTCCTTCTGTCTTTTCTTCCTTTATTTCTCTTTCCTTCTCTCCCTCTTTCCTTCCTTCTCTCCTTCCTTCCTTCTCTACCTCTTTCCTTTCTTCCCCTTTTCCTTTTCCTTCTCTTTTCTTCTTTCACTACTTCCTTCCTTCCTTCCTTCTCTCTTTTCTTCCTTCTTTCTTTCTTTCCCTCCCTCTTTCTCTTCTTTCTTTCTCTCCTTCCTTCCCTCACTCTTTCCTCCCTTCCTTCCTTTTTTTCTTTTTCTCTCCTTCCTTCCTTCTCTACCTCTTTCCTTCCTTCTGTCTTTTCTTCCTTTATTTCTCTTTCCTTTTCTCCCTCTTTCCTTCCTTCTCTCCTTCCTTCCTTCTCTACCTCTTTCCTTTCTTCCCCTTTTCCTTTTCCTTCTCTTTTCTTCTTTCACTACTTCCTTCCTTCCTTCCTTCTCTCTTTTCTTCCTTCTTTCTTTCTTTCCCTCCCTCTTTCTCTTCTTTCTTTCTCTCCTTCCTTCCCTCACTCTTTCCTCCCTTCTTTCCCTTTTTTTCTTTTTCTCTCCTTCCTTCCTTCCTTCTCTACCTCTTTCCTTCCTTCCCCTCCCTTTTTCTTTCCCTTTTTTCCTCTCCTTTCTTCCTTCTCTACCTCTTTCCTTCCTTCTGTCTTTTCTTCCTTTATTTCTCTTTCCTTTTCTCCCTCTTTCCTTCCTTTCCTTATTTTCTTTCCTTCTCTCCTTCCTTCCTTCTCTACCTCTTTCCTTCCTTCCCCTCCCTTTTTCTTTCCCTTTCCCTCTCCTTTCTTCCTTCTCTACCTCTTTCCTTCCTTCTCTTTTCTCCCTCTCCCTCTTCCTTCGCTCCCTCTTTCCTTCCTTCCCTTTTTTCTTTCCTTCTCTCATTCCTTCCTTCTCTACCTCTTTCCTTCCTCCCCGCTTTTTCTTTTCTGTCCTCTTTCTCTCCTTTCTTCCTTCTCTACCTTTTTCCCTCCTTCCTTCACTCGTTGCTTCCATGCTTCCTTCTCTCTCTCATTTTTCCCCTCCTTCCCTCTTTCCTTCCTCTTTCCTTCCTTCCCCTCCCTTTTTCTTTCCCTTTTTTCCTCTCCTTTCTTCCTTCTCTACCTCTTTCCTTCCTTCTGTCTTTTCTTCCTTTATTTCTCTTTCCTTTTCTCCCTCTTTCCTTCCTTCCCTTTTTTCTTTTTCTCTTCTTCCTTCCTTCCTTCCTTCTCTACCTCTTTCCTTTCTTTCCCTTTTTCTTTTCTTTCTCTTTTCTTCTTTCGCTACCTCTTTCCTTCCTTCTTTCCCTCCCTTTCTCTCTTTCTTTCTTATTTTCATTCTCCCTCTTTCCTTCCTCCCTTTTCCTTCCTATTTTTTCTGTATTTTGGTTTTGTGCATGCATTGTAATTTTTGTGGGGCTTTTTAAGTCCTTTCCTCTGTTTTGGGAGGGATTTTATGAGTGATGGTCACTTGTTGGTCTGTTAGGGGTGTTGTGTCCAAATTTGGTGTCACTTTGCCCAGTGGTTTTTGAGTTCTGTCAATCCTACAAACAAACATGACATTTTTATTTATGTAGAGTCTAAATGTATACCCCGCCCTTTTCAACCCAGTGGGGGACTCAGGGCGGCTTACAGACCACGGCATGCAATGCCGCACTACGCATATAAAAATAAACATGATATATCAATTTAAACAATTAGCATATCAATTTAAACATAAAATAATAAACATGACCATATCAAGGAAGGTACAGCCCAGCCAGGCAGCCTTTGGGGAGGGTCCCTCTTGGGCCTGTCCAGCAGGGAGGGGCACAGAAGGCCTGGGGTCCAGCGGGAGGGAGGGCTGTGTCTGGTCTGACCACCTCCCCCCCCCCTTGAAATAAAGGAGGAGCTGAAGCACTTTGAGGCCAAGGTGGAGAAGCACCTGCACTTCCAGAAGCAGCTGGAGATCTCGCACCAGAAGCTGAAGCACGTGGAAGGGACCGGGGACGAGGAACACCTCAGCCGCCACCAGGAGAAGCACGCCATGCTGCAGGAGAAGACCAAGGACCTCGGGTACAAGGTGAGGGAGGGGGGCAGCGGCGGGAGAGGGATCCCCCCCCCAAACAGCCCCCTTGGGTGAATAGTCAGTGGTGGTGGTGGGGGGGGGGGGCAGCCCTGGCAGTTGGGCTTGGCTTCCTAGCATCACTTCCCATCCCATCCTCGAGAGGGAAGGGACCTCTGATGGCCACCCAGTTCAACTCCCTTCTGCCAGGCAGGAAGACACAGCCCAAGCCCTCCCAACAGATGACCCGACAGTTCAAAGACACTGTTGCAACCCAGAGTAGGCTTCACCTTGCTTCCAAACACCACCACACAAGAGCTGTAGTTTTATAGTTTATTGAGGAAAAAATCCAAGTCAGAATAAAGAGTAAGCATTGCAAAGTTCCAAAGATTAAGGTTAAATGCAGGATACAGTTCCAAAGATCTTCAGGTAAAAGCTGGAGACATAATCCTAGTGGCCAAGTTCAAACCAGAGTCCCAGGTACAAGCAAGGAAACATTTGCCCCAAGAATCACAATGCAAGACGTCCCAAGCGTACTGCTTTCCAGGCTAAGATTATTCCATGAAGCTTTCAGGCTATTATTTCGGGTACTTTTACCCCGCCCTTCTCAACCCCCGAAGGAGGACTCAGGGCGGCTTACAGAAAAGGCACAATTTGATGCCTATACAAATTACACATAACATACAAAACCATAGTTAAAAGCAGTTATCACAGTTAACACAATCAAACAACCAGTGCAAAGCACATCATATAAAAAACTATTCTCATGATCAGCGTCTCATCTTTCGGGAGTTCCATAGATCTAATCCATTAATCATTTCCTAATCATCGTCAAAGTTCTTTCTTTATCTGCCCTCTTCTCCGAATGCCTGGTCCCAGAGCCATGTCTTTAGGAAAGGAAGGATGTCGCTGATCTAATTTCCCTGGGGAGTGAATTCCACAGGTGAGGGGCCACCACCGAGAAGGCCCTGCTCCTCGTCCCCGCCAATCTCACTTGTGATAGAGGCGGGATCCAGAGCAGGGCCTCCCCAGAAGATCTTAGACTCCGAGGTGGGACGTAGAGGGAGATCTGTTCAGACAGATACACTGGGCCGGAACCGTATAGGGTTTTGTAGGTCGAAACCAGCACTTTGAATTGTGCTCGGAACTGGATCGGCAGCCAGTGGAGCTGACACAACAGGGGGGTGGTATGCTCCCTGTATGACGCCCCGGTGAGCAGTCTGGCTGCCTCCCGCTGGACTAGTTGGAGTTTCCGAGCAGTCTTCAAAGGCAACCCCACGTAGAGCGTGTTGCAGTAATCTAATCAGGATGTAACAAGAGCGTGGACCACTGTGGCCAGATCCGACTTCCCAAGGTACGGGCGCAGCTGGCACACAAGTTTTAATTGTGCAAATGCTCCCCTGGCCACCGCCGAGACCTGGGGTTCCAGGCTCAGCGATGAATCCAGGATCACTCCCAAGCTGCGAACCTGCGTCTTCAGGGGGAGTGCGACCATATCTAACACAGGCTGTAACGCAACGTAGCTAATAAGCTACGTTGAACTGACGCTTTCAGAGTTTCCAGGAGGCCTAAATACCTTTCTAACATGGAAACATTAGGCTCTCAGCATCATAAAAGCATTGCGATGACCTTGCACCAAGCTAGCCTCCTGTCTGCTTGCCAGACACGATCTGCGCCTGACCCAGAGATCAAGCGAGCTTCTCGGGTCAAATCTTTATCTATACTTTCTGTATCATTGTGGGAAGGCACCTGGCCGCTATTCATAGAATCATAGAATCAAAGAGTTGGAAGAGACCTCATGGGCCATCCAGTCCAACCCCCTGCCAAGAAGCAGGAATATTGCATTCAAATCACCCCTGACAGATGGCCATCCAGCCTCTGCTTTAAAAGCTTCCAAAGAAGGAGCCTCCACCACACTCCAGGAGTTCACTGCTGAACGGGGGGGGGCAGGGGGGGGATGTCGGGGAGGGAGGTTGGACGGGGGG